ATCATCATCATCATCATCATCATCATCATCATCATCATCATCATCTTTTTCTTTGCCTCTGGCATTTTTTATATCAATGGAGATAACATCACAGGAAGATGCGATCCTTGTTAACTGCTTAAACATCCCCATTTCATGTTTCTCGGTTCAGGACATTAAGTCTGTTCTGTCGCTCTCCTTTAACTTCCCTTTATCTATTCCTTTTATCACCTATCCTTCTGACCTCTTCTTCTTCATGCGCACTTAACTTCCTCATGTCTTTACAGGTCTTCGACTCTTACACGAAAGCATATTCTCAGGTCTTTGGACGTGGGTCCTGCGTGTGGGAGGTAGTAAAACTTCTCCAGTAATCTTACCTTCGCCGGCCGAAAACCAGTCTTCCCAAACGGAAACCACTGATATCCCTCTGATCTCTGTCTGCATTCAGCACCTTACTTCGACCCTGGCATCAGTCCGAAGAAGTATGACCTATTTACTGCATGTTCTAAAAGCCTTTTTGCGTTAGAAGTTTGGGAGTGATATCGTTTTTGCTCTAAATGCAAGATATTTTTACGGAAATTCGGTTGCTGTTAAAATGCTTTCTTCCTAAGCTTAAGGTTGGTAGTCGGGTTGCTCCATCCTGCTTGGGAGATTGGCGGTTTCACACATGTACATCTATTTATCTTTTTTGGTTGGAAATTTTATTGGACAGTTTCCTCTGCCCCTTTTTTGTGAGTAAACTTTCATTTTAGATAAAAATGGTTGTAGTCTGTAATGTAAGTAAGTAGAACTTGCTATTTGGTGCCAACTATTTAAATTCAAAGTTGTGTGGTCTCTTTTCTAGCGCTTTCAGTGTCTCGTCTCGAAAATAAACCAGACCTGATCCCCTAATGCCTACAAATTGGCCTGGTATAAACGCTATTTTCCCAAACTCTGCGCAAATACTAGCTGATTCCATTGGGGGAATTTAAGCCCCCAGTGCACAACTGAATCGTCCAGCCTCACCTAATCACCTTTCCCTTAACTTTAGGTTGTCCTAGCGCAGAACACCTTCCAATCACTGATGCGCTGGTGGATGCCTTAATTTTCAACCTGTTTACCCGAAAACGCGAACCGACCGACAATTTCTGTGACCTCACTGTACTGACTGAGGAAGCGGAGAAGCAAGCTGAAGCACTTCACTGTCCCGGTTTCCCCTGGGCCCTCTGGCACCCCTCAAGTCAGACTATCCAACTACTGAACGATGTAAGCTCCCGCCAGCCTCTGCAATTTTCGACTACTTGTGTCCATATTTAATGCCATTTCTCATGCCCCGTGAAAGGCAGATGTAGAGTTGGTTCTCTTTGGAGATGAAGTTCACTGAAAAAAATTTATAATCCTTTATAGAAGTTAAGATGTGCAGTGAAGCGAAATCTAATGTTATTGCTTATTTTCCCAAACTCGCAGTCAGTCGTGCCAGTTTACTGTCTTTGCTCTTAATAAAAACACTGGCGCGGTGAATATACTGATAAAAGTCGCAATTCTTTCGCCCGACAACTCCAGACCAGTTGTTACCTACTGTTAAATAACGTCAACGTTTTTCGGTTAGGGCTTTTTTTGCAGCTATGGGAGTCTTCCTACATTGTCCGTTTGAGTTCTGCAGCAGTCATTCCGGTAGCGGTAGATTATTTAAACCCCCTTAGCCACCACAAAGCCCAGGATTTGGTTAATTTGTTGTGGTGGTAATGAAGGTTTTAAGGGTGAGGCCTCAGGGTGGACAAACGGTGAACTGTGTTATAACCTTGTGTGTTCCTGTGTCAACTCTGGTTATGTCCCCCAGTTACGTGTTAGAAAAAGAAGGCAGAACAGGATAGCGGATAGTAATTTACTGTCGATTCTGTTTCCTGTGTGTCCAACAGCTTGTCTTCTGTGTCTGTCAGCAGCTTGTGTTCTGTCGTCGTCTCGGCCAACAGCGTTCCGTGTCTGTAGCAGCCGTGTCCCGAGTCGCTGACAGCAGTATCTCGGTTCGTCGGCAGCGTCCCCAGCAACAGTGTGCCACCTTCAGCGGTGGTAGCATATTTAAGGGCCAGTAGTTATTGTTCTCTATTGGCTGGCTGGCTTGTAGCCCTTGTTGGATCCGGAGCAC